GACCTCTCTGGGGAGCGCATTCCATAACTTAGGCGCCACCGCAGAGAAGGCCCTCCTCCGAGTACCCACCCTCCTAATTTCTTTCACGGAGGGTTCCCGGAGAAGGGCCTCTCCCGCCGATCTCAAGGGGTGGGCGTATATGGATGTAAGCGCTCCTTCAGGTAACCAGGACACAAGCCGTTTAGGGCTTTATAGGTCATCACCAACACCTTGAATTGGGCCCGCACTTCAATGGAGAGCCAGTGAAGCTGACGGAGGACTGGAGTCATGTGAACATAATTCCCAGTCCTCGTCAGCAGCCTGGCCGCTCTATTTTGAACCAACTGAAGTATCCGGACCGTCTTCAAGGGCAGCCCCACCTACAGAGTGTTTTATAGGTTTCGAGTCACAGGTGCCTAACAGCAGGGCAGGTGGTGACAAAATAAGGGGAACACAGTCAAAAGAATGTGAGAGATCTGCAGAGGGGACTTAATACATTAACATTTGATTATGGAAGATTGACATAACACTGGCTGGTCTTGGCTACCAGTTTCAACATAAATTAGTCAGAACAGGTTGCTACTGCTAGCAGATGAGCAGCACAAAAGCCTCCATGCAGTTAACTTTACAACTGATTGTAGCAGCTGCCACAGTTCCTGTCCCTTAAAGTAACAATGCCGAACAGCGGCCTGGCTTGGAATTCTGGTGCCTTCTAAGACAGAGGTGCAGGTATTTGTATAACACAAAGACACATATAAGCAACCTTTTCCTATCAGGATTTATCTGGATTTCCCAACAGCTGCCATATGGTCTCAGTCCAGGAGCCTGTCTTCTCCCCAGAACTGTGCATGGGAAAGCAGAGCAAAGCTGGAAGCTCAGGACCTGTGGATGGTTTGGTCTGGGGCATCCCCAGGCGGAACTGGGAAAGGCCCCCTGTCTGAAGTCTGGGAGTGCTCCAGCCTCTGCCCACCCATTTAGATGGCAGGTTCCATTTGCCCCATTCTGGTGGAAAAGTTGTGAAACGGTCCAAACAATGTTTATGGCTGGGCACCGGGTGCTTAGAGTGTTAGACTGGGGACCCAGGAGATTCAGGGCTCTCTGGGTGGCTTTGGGCCAGTCACGACTGTCAGCCTAACCTACCTTACAAGGCTGTCGTTGTGAGGATAAAACTGGCGTGAAGAACTATGCAAGCCACCCTGGGTTCCTCACAAGAGAAAAAAAGCGAGCTATTAATGCAATCTTATAATCATAATTTATTGGTGTGTAAGCAGGTCTGGTAACTATAAGAGTGCAGACCTATGCATGTATGGGAAGGAAAAGGCCTAAAGACACCCGTGTGTGTCTGCCAGGCTAAATGTGACAAAAATTACACGAGATTTAAAATGTGTGTGTTTCAATTTGTAGAGTTAGAGAGATAGCCAGGGTAGTGTAGTGGTTAAGAGTACAGAACTGGCACTTCAGACATCTGGGTTCAAGTCCTTTCTTAGCCATGGAGCCAGCTGAGTGACTTTGGGCCAGTCACAAAATCTAAGCCCAGCCTACCTCACAGGGTTGTTGTTGTGGGAATAAGATTGAAAGCAGCAGGAGGAGAATGATGTAAGCCACTGAGTTCTTTAAAAAGAAGAAAGGCAGGATATAAACCTAGTAAATAAATAGGATTACAAGAACAGGTCTTTAAAAAGGCAGATGACAACTTGGTATCCTTCTCATGTTTTGAATTACAAGTTGCAGGATCACCAACCATTGGTCACACTGCCTGAGGCTGATGCAAAGTCGACGTTCAAAAGTTTTAGAGAAGGCTGAATCTCACCAGACTGGCAATAGAACTTTGCTTAAATACTGGCTGCATCTTACTTAAGCATTGATTATTAAAATTATTGTTGTTGTTAATTTTATTTCCGTATTGCCTTATAGCTGGAGTTCTTTGGGTGGTGAAGAAAGCTGACAGAGAAAATAGATCTCTGAGAAACATGGTTCTAGAGGAGAGTTTTGTGAATATCCTGGACCAACAGACAGATGAACACGTGGGTCCTGGATCAAATCAAGCCAGAACTTTCCCTTGAAGCAAAAATGATGCAACAAAGACTGTGGTACCTTGGGCACATCATGGGACGGCAAGACTCCCTGGGGAAGTCAATCATGCTAGGGAAAGCTGAAGGCAGAAGATAAAAAGGGAGACCACAGCCTGGGATTTGCAAGAGCTGAGCAAGGGCTGTCACGAACAGTCACGGGGCCTCCATGGGTCAGAGACACGGAGCGACCGATCCATGGTTCACACGGTCCCTCCAGATGTTTTCGATGTCAGCTCCCATCAGCCTCTCCCGCCGTGCCCAATGGTGAGAGACGATGTGAGTTGTAGTTCAAAACCTCTGGAGGATGTCACGCTGGCGAAAACCGGGCTTGGAAATGAAAACAAACAAACCCAAAGATGCAGACGGTGCAGGCACTCAGCCAGGAGTCTCCAGCAATAAGGGCTGAAGAGAGCCGGGCTCATCTGCTCGCTCAGCTTCCTAGAGAGGCCGGGAAATTGCGATGCTGAGAGAGGCCGACCCCCTTCCTCTTCCCCGGGCTGTGTCCTGATGGCGAACCGGTTCCTGCAATTTTGCCAGGCTTCCTGGGGAAACCCAGAGGGGAAGTGGGACATTTCCAGGGGTTTGGCGCCCTGCAAAGAGTGGGTGAGTCGGAGGCAGGCAAGGGGGTGGCATTTGGAACAAAGGAGGTGCAGGGAGCGGTGGGAGGTGGAGAGGAAAGAAACCAAAGGAAAAGGAGTTGCCTGAAGTAATGCTTGTGTCTGGTCCGCTCAGCGGTATGCCCCATTGAGCTCGATGGGACTTGCCCCCAAGGAAGTGCATAGAACAGAAGTACGCCGCCCATGACTTCTGGCCCGCAACCTCAGCCAGCATGGCCAAGGGTTGGGGACGATGGGAATTGCATGCTAAGGTCCCTGGAAGGTGCCAAGTTACCTATCCCTGGGCATATAGGAGAGAAAGAGTGTCCCCTCCCTAAATACCGAATTCAATTTGTTCCCTCACTCTAAAAAGAAAGTGAGGCGAATTCCTTCTACAGTAGTTTGGTCATTTCCTTTGTTGTTCTTAGTAGAATTTACATTTTGTTCAGCAATCTTAGCTCTCTTTTGTATATGTTTCCCATTATGGGACAGAATACCAAGTGTACATATGTACTGGGCTAGGAGAATTTTTAAAAAATCTCTTGGTTTCCCTCCCTTTCTCCTCCAGAGAAGCACCTATTTTTCCCTGAGGATTGTCTCCTGATAAACAAGAGATTTATTAAAAAAAAGATTCTTCCTACAGAACTGAATCTTTCTCTTTCAAAAACGAGAAAACTGGAAATCAGCAATATCTGTTATGAGTCCTGTTATAATTTATATTAGCATCTATCAGTGCACATCCGATGCTAGGCAGGTATATCATTATTGTTTGAAAGTGGAACCTGCAACGAAATGTTGCACATGAAGTGTTCTTGCTGTTTCTCATGCTGGCCAGCCAGCATCTTGACTTCTTACCAGATTCTCCATGGCTTGCCAGCCATGGCACGTCAATCCATTCCATTCCCCACCTTTTCTCTCCTCCCACACTCAGGTTTCCGTCCAGGATGTCTGTCATTTTGAGCCAACTAAGCTTTCTCATTTAGCTTAGTTTGGAATTTCAGCCGTGCCAGGGTGTCCCCCAAACAAACACCAAAGTTTTACTGTACATGTGGAAACCTCAGAGTTCCCCCTCTTTGGCACCAGCGCTTCTGTATGGCAACATTATTTTATATTTTTTTATATTTTTATTTTATATTGTTAATTTTACATTGTTATTTTTGTATTTTATTGTATTTTATTCTGGACTGTGAGCCGCCCCGAGGCTTCGGCAAGGGGCGGCATAGAAATGTTTTAATAAATAAAATAAATAAATAAACATTAAGCAATGACATTCAAGAGCTTGTGATTATATATACAAGCCTCCTCCAACCTGGTTGCTGTTCAGATATGTTGGACTACTGCTCCCATCATTCCCAGATGACCTATTTCATAACCATCCAAGACTGTAATTTCTTTCTCTTTCTTCCCCTCAGGGAGAAAGAAACCTCAGTTCCTGAGCAAGCTGTTTGAGGTGGAAAGAGGCTTCGATTCCCCTCTTTTGCTGCCGAGTGGGCCCAAACCCAAAAGATCTGTCAAAAAGGGTGGACTGTTTCCTCGGGCTTTTGCTGAAGGATGTGAGCTTGGGAGCCACGGGTGCACCAAGGCCAAGGCATATGGCTGCCCAGGGAGGCGGCCCAGCGCTGCCTCCGCTGAGCCTCCAGTTCCGCCTGGCCCTCGAACAGCAGCGAGGAATAAAGATGGAGACGCTGGACCCGGCTGATGCCGACGCTCACGAGATCCGGGTGGTGTGTGTCGGGGAGCCGCTGGGATGGGAGGGCCCAGCACTGATCAAGCAGGAACTGCAGGACGTGGCTTGGGAAGCCCCAGGGAGGCAGGAGCTGGTGGAAGCTGCACAGCCACTCGGTGTGGGACAGGGGGACCTGCTGCCGCCGTGGGACGAGGGCAAGAATTTCCCAGCCGGCACCGTTAGCAAATGGCTGACGGTGGAGTGGGGGACTCCACAGAAGCCTGTGGCCATGGCGGAGAACCAGCCAGCCCCCAGCGAGTCAGACCATGTCGGAGCATGGCAGGGCCGTGAAGAGGAGGAAGAGGAGGCACTGTGTCTGAGGGAAGCACTCGGAGCGGAGGCCCAGCGGCGGCAGTTCCGCTGCTTCTGCTACCCGGAGGCCGGGGGCTTGCGCGAAGTCTACGGCCACCTGCGGGAGCTGTGCCACCGGTGGCTGAAGCCGGAGAGCCACAGCAAGGAGCAGATCCTGGAGCTGGTGATCCTGGAGCAGTTCCTGACCCTCCTGCCCCCGGAGACGCAGAACTGGGTCCGGGAGCAGGACCCGGAGACCTGCGGCCACGTGATTGCCTTGGTGGAGGATTTCCTCATGAGGCAGCGGGAGGTCGAGCGGTGGGAGCAAGAGGTGACCGGGCTTCTGCCTCAATTGCTTGGGGTTCAAAAGGGGGAACTGCTGGAGTGGGGGGGGGGGGTTTTCCCAAACAGGCTAATAAATCTCGGTGTTTGATCTGTGTAATTCCGCCTTTGCCCAGATGATTTGGATTCCCATCAGCCCCAGCAGGCAAGGCTAAGGGTTAGGAATCGTGGGAGCAGTAGCTGAAAACATCTTGGCTGTGGAAGGCTTTTCCTGAAGTTCTTCACCTGCATGGCCAGGATCATGGAGGGAAATGGAGACCGGTCTGTCCACTGTGACTTTCCATTGCCTCTTTGCTCTCTTTCTCTGCAGTTCCTTGTACTGGAGGAGTTGGATGCTGCAGGGCAGCGGGTGCAGAAGCTTCAGCCCATGGGCCAAATCTGGCCAGCATGGAGTTCCTGCCCAGCCCCCAGACAAGCCATGCTCTCTTCCCCACCCCGACCGATCACTGTCCTTTGGTGCTTTTCCAGGCCGTTTCCCCACCCCAACCTCCATGCCCAAAGTCTGAAATGCCTCTCCTAAGACTTGGGATTCTTCTCCTCTTAGAAGGAAGCTTCCCAGCATCTGATGTTCAGCCAGGCTGCTGTGTGTGTTGGGAAGAGCGATAGAGGCCTTTTTCTCCTCTCTGTCTTCCTTTTATAAAATTTTCCTCTAGCTGAACCACCAAACCTGATGAAAGAAGGCCAGTGACTGGGCTGCAGTGGAAGGAGGTTATAGGATTTCTGGCATCCCTGTCTTTCCTCTCTCTTCCTCATCCTCTGGAACACTCCCTTTTCCCTCTCTCTAAGGCCACATCTGCAACTTCTAAAAGCAGCTGGTGAGGTTTTCTCTGTGGTAGCTGTGATGGCTGTAAGCAAAACCCCGCTCCCAAGTTCATGGCCATGTTTACAGCTTCCCAGGACAACACCGGACAATCCGGTAATCTTTAGGATGCTCTGCCCAAGATGCCCTTTTCCATCTACAATATTTATTTAATCAATTTATATTCTGCTATATTGGCCAGAGTGCTCTCTAAGCAGATTACAGGAGGATGAAAACACATTGTGACAATAAAAACAATGAATTAAAACAGAATAAGCAAAAGTCAATAGAACAAAACAGTACACAGCCAAGGGCTAATAATTTAAAACCATATAGATTAAAACAACAGAGTTGCTAATATACTGGCCTGCTTCATCTTTTTGCCCTATCCCCTTCTCCTTTAGCCCTGCCCACTCTTTGAAAGTTGCCCCGTGAGTTTTTCTGCAATAGAATCCATCTGTCAAACTGAGAGTGGTTTAGCACTCCTGTTTGGTGGTGGTGGTGGTGTGTGTGTGTGTGTGTTAGCACATAATTCGTATAGCTGCTTTCGACTGCATTTTTGAAATGTTGTTGTAAGTCACCTCGAGCCTTCGTTTTGGTGACCATAAGAACCCTTTTCTAATCCTGGATGCTATCGATACGATCTCAACTGTGAAAACCAGATTTTTAAATTACACAGAGCAGCTACACATCTAGAGGCCCTGTTGTAAGAGTGTTCCCTCTGATGCCTGGAAGACAGAACAGAAATATCTGCTGGCAAAATAAATCAAGTATGTTACACATAGAATGCAATCCTGTACACACCTGTTTTGAATAAGTCCCGTTGAACTCATGATACACTCTCAGTGCATTCCAGCAAGGGTGGGAATGCGTGGACCCGTTTAATGCCACGGAGCAGATGGCTACTGAATTTCAGTGTCCAACTGGCATATTGACTTGCGTTTAGTCAAGGCCTCCTGTATCCTGCACAGCACCCCTTGGAGTGCCAGAAATGCTCAAATGCTTAGGAGAATTAAAAAAAAAAAATCTTCACCTAGCACTGAAAAGGGAACAAAGTGCGAGCCAGGTGTTTCTCTCTGGGTGTTTGTGCATGAATGGTTTGGCAGGGTCATCTCAGAAAAAGGTCTTAGAAGATGACTTCAGGGATGCAGGCAAGTACCTATGGGAGGAGATGATCCTAAAGATAAGGCCGTTGCACCATTCTAATTGCCCAGTTTAACCTGTCCTGTCTTAGTTCGGTATCATGCAGTGATTTTTCTGAAATGAGTTATTTCAAAGTATAGAAACGGTTTGCAGCCCACATCATTGGCATGTGCCACAGATGCTCTGGCTGCTCCAGCTCTGACCGGACCCCTTTTACTCTCGTGGCAGGACACGGGCCCCTTTGTGGAGGTGCTGCTGGATTCTCCCGAGGGGGAGCAGGTTCCCTCAGCTGCCGGGCAAAGGACCCTGCTCAAGGAGAGGGCGCAGGAGAGCAGCAAAGACACGGGATCACTGGGTAAGCAGCCAGAGCGATTGACGGCTTGATCTCACGGGTATTTACTCAGAATTAAGCCCCCCTAAGCTTGGTGGGATTTGCTCCCAATGGAGTTGCATTGGATTTTAATGCAAGGGGTTTTGCAGAGCACTGGCTGAGACGGAGACATCTAGCAGAATCCAAAAGTTATGTTTTTGTAGGCCTTCAGGACGCAGTTGTGCAGGGAAGGATCATATATTTGAATGCTCTGAGTGTAATAAACAGATTTATTTTATTACGTGCATTTATACCCTGTCCTATCGCTTCAAGCACTCAGGACGGCTTCATTATTTCCTACACATAAGAGGCGAAGCCTTAATCGTTCACACCTTTGTTTCTTCCACATTTAGATGACGACAACGACATTGCACTGATATCCCATTTTATCCCTATCCCTATTTATATCCCATTTTATTCCTACCTCCATTTTATTCTCACAACAACAACCCTTTGAGGTAGGCCGGGCTGAGAGTCTGTGGCTGGCCCCAGTGTCATGCAGTGAGCTTCATGGCTGAGTGGGGACTAGAACTTGCATCTCCCGGGTCGCCAGATCCTACACTCCAACCACTATGTCACGCTGTCTCCGATGATTGCAGTGTGCTTCATGCAGGGGTGCCCTTGGAGGGTGTCCAGGTGGTTCTGTTGCTGCTGCTGAGCATCAATGTCCCACATCAAGATTGCAAGTGCTGTTACCTTTGTTGTCAGGATGTGCCATCCATGCAAAACAGCCTGGAGAAGCTCAGAGGCATTTCGGCCCTCGGGGATTCTGTGAGGTGGGGCACAAAGGCCGAGACGCGATCACGGCAGGTGCTTGGGCCCTTCTCCACATCTGGGGCCTTCTCCACACACTTTGGACCCCCTGTGATATGGCACATGGTAATTAATGATAAACTGACGACAGAAATAAAAATTTAAAAAGGGTTAATGAAAGCAAATAAATAGAAGGAAATTTGGGAAGATTTGGTAAAAGCGGTACTGATAGAAGGTAATGGTTGCAAACCTAATCAAGATTATATGAATTTCTGCAGGGGATAGGGATATAATTGAAGTATGTATTATTAATTGTTGTAATATGTGAATTAAATGGTGGTGGTATTGGTCTCCGGGGTGGTGGGGGCACTTTATCATTTACTTTTCTAATTATTAATTTAGTTTTTGTGTGTTATATTATTATTGTTGTATTGTGTTGAATTTATGGGTTTTTTTCTGTATTTAAAAAAATTATAAAGGGACAAAAGAAAAAAAAACTTTGGGCTCCCTGTGTAGCCTCTAGCTCCACCCACCCCTGGAATGTCGCTTCCAGCACCTTCTCCGAAATGGAATCTGGCTACTCCAGAGTCGTGTTTCTGTTTTTCTGCCTCTCTTCCCTCTCATGCATGTGGCCTGTCATTTCTTTCAGGTGGTGCTGCGAATATGGAAGAGGATGGGCCGCTGCAAAGTTCGGAGCAGGCAGAGTCGTGCGGGATATTCTCCGGGGAATCCCAAGGATGTCTTGTGCTCAGATGCGAAAGCTTTGAGGAAGGCGGCGGGTGGAAGAGCCCGGAGGGGCAGCTTCCAGTGAGGCCATGGGCTGAACCCGCAGTGCGCATGGCCGTTTCAGAAGCGGCACCCCACAGGCAGGCCATCCGTCACCTGTGCCCCGAATGTGGCCGGAATTTCCAGCACAAATCGACGCTGATTCGTCACCAGAAGATGCACACGGGGGAGAAGCCCCACATGTGCCTGGAATGTGGGAAGACGTTCCGCCGGAGGGACAAGCTGATCCGACATCAGAGGATCCACACGGGGCAGAAACCCCACGCCTGCCCCGAGTGCGGGAAGAGCTTCCGCGAGAAAGGGAAGCTCACCAACCACCAGAGGATCCACACGGGCGAGAAGCCGTACGCGTGCCCCGTCTGCGGGAGGACCTACCGGTGGAAGGAGGAGTTCGTGCAGCACCTGAGGCTCCACACGGGGGAGCAGCCGTACGGCTGCATCCACTGTGGGAAGGCCTTCGTCAGCAAAGCCCACCTGGTCTCCCATCAGTGGATGCACACGGGCCAGAAGCCCCACGAGTGTCCGGAGTGCCGGAGGCGGTTCTGCAGCAAGCAGAGCCTCGCCAAGCACCAGCGCAGCCACGGCGGCGAGCGATCCTATGAGTGCCAGGACTGCGGGAGGGTCTTCCATTACATTTCGAACTTTACCAAACACCAGCGCGCCCACGTGAGCAAGGGGATCCTCTAGAGCAGGGGTCGGCAACCCGCGGCTCCGGAGCCGCACGTGGCTCTTGAACCCCCCTGCTGCGGCTCCGTCGCTCTAAACACCACGCGCCCCGCTCTGCTCGAAGCTGCACTCAGGAACGCAGAGCTAGCTAGTTGAGTAAACCAGCTAGTTCAGTAAATCACTACATTCCTCTGCTAAACAAGCTTCCTGCAGGCTCTCATGTTACTGGAAAGGCTGCTGAAAGGATTTCCTTTGTCCCAGTGTAATCATCTGAATGTTAAAAGCTGCATTGGGACCTGTCACAATTCACAGCACTTGACTGTTAATCTGCTAATCAGTCACTAAACACACCTATATCTCCAGCTCCGTCACAGCGGCACAGCCGATTTACTGAGCTCCCCACCCCACCCCTGTAGGCCAACCATGGATAAATTGAAGAAAAGAAAAGTTTCTGAAGAAAACCAAACATTTAATGATACGTGGGTAGATTCATTTGCTTTTACTGCTGACGAACTTATGGGGTTTGCTGTTTAATGCATGCAGCCCTTTAGCACTGACTTTGACTCTTCAGGAAGCGGTTCTCCTATTCAAAATATATGAAAGGAGTCCTACTAGTTTATAATGTAAGGTTAAAAATAACAGTTTTTAGTGACTGAACAAGAGCTGCAGCTAAATCATGATGAAGATATACCTAGCATTAAGGTAAAAAATGATATATGCAGTGTTATCTTCATTTTAGCTGTCAAAAGGGTTTTGCGGCTCCCGGTGTTTTCTTTTGTGCGGGAAACGAGTCCAAATGGCTCTCTGAGTGTTAAAGGTTGCCAACCCCTGCTCTAGAGGAAAAGAGAGTGGAGTTTTGCAATAGGGTTCAATAATCCCTAGGCATCGTCACCTGCTGTAACCTCTACAACATGCACTGGCTGTTGGGGGAAGAAATCATAGCTCAGAGTTTGTGTTGTGAGCTCAGTGTCCCCCGTCCCCCCGCCCTTTGCCCATTCAGAGCCACAGACCTCTTCTTGCAAAAGTGTTTTTCCAGAAGCACTGGAACGAACCCAGACCGAACCTCTGCTCATGCACAGAGCGGTTTGTTGAACCCAATCTAGTCTTTACTTCTAGGAACTCTCCTTTTGCATATGTTTGGGCCCCATCTTTTCGAGAGGGGCTTTTTGGAAATAAGCATGCTTCCACTCTGCACGCCGACCCTCCTCTCCCAACATCACATCATGCACTGAAGAGCCGTACCTGCCTCACCTGTCTCTGAGAAACTCCCCTTTCTGAGGCCTTTCGCAATAGCTGTTCATCTTGGTTATTCTCAGAAGCAGCCGGAGCACCTGGGGAGTCTGGGCCTGAGCTAAGCGCCTCTGCTTCTCTCCTCTCACCATCTGGAATCGGCCCCCACGCCGAGGTCTCCCCCATGCGTTCTCTGAGTCCAAAGCAGCTCTGGAAATGCCCACCCTGTGCCTCTCTCTCTCCCAACCGTTTGGACATGTGCTTTCCATGTTGAAATCCCAAATCCAAGCTGCAGCATCTCCAGTTAAAAAAGGAACTGTTACCAGCAAATGCACCTTCTCCCCAGAGTCCTTGGAAAGCTGCTACCAGTCGGGGAGACGGTCCCAGGCTAGATGGTCAGAGAGTCTAATTCCAAAATATGTATTAGTGTGGTGCTTTTGTTAGGTCAACCAAATGCTTCCCCCTGCCTCCCCCCCACCCCGGAAATGGGCAGGCTTTCAAGCTCTGCTGGTCTCTTCATCAGGCAAAGCATTACAACAAGCAGGTCTGGAGGGTGGTTGGGCAGGTGGAGAAAATGGGGAGAACTCTCCCTCCCCAGATGCTGAAGCCATTGCCACTGCATCTGCGTGGTCTGTGTCCCAAGTTTGTGAGGGGGAAGGACCTGCAAACATTTAAATGCAGTTCTAATTACTCATTGGATGGTTACAAGGTTAGACCTGGAGCTGCCCCTGGGGCTGGTGGGAAGAAGAAGGGGAGAAATGCTGGGTACCCCATTTCTGAAGATTAAAAATCCAGCTGTTCCATTATACGAATGTGCTTCCATTCTGGGCAAAGCACAGGGACCCCTTTAATAGGGGACTGGAAATAAAACCTAAGAAGTCTTTATATTAACTGAACACAAAATCCTATGCATGGTGAGACAGAAAGAATTCCTCCAACTCCCAGCATTCCCCAGCCAGCCATGCTGTAACTGGAGATGAATGGATTGGGTTTTTTAAAAGTCGAGTGAAGCCAAACTGGGCAGCTTTAACTAGTGGTTAGAGGGGATGAACCCTTGGAGAACAATTCCTAGTTTCTGGTATTATAAAATTCTCTTGCTCCAGGGAAGAGTCCTATTGGAGAATGGCTAAATATAGAATTGTCCAAATTGCAGAAGAACCCCTACAGAACAGACATAACGTTCCAGGTAAACATACCTGCTGACCTCAGCAAAGCCCAGAAAATCCAACGGGAAGAATGCAGCTCCTGGAAATGTGCTGGCACACCGCTCTGTGGATGAACTGGTGTCTTAAAATCCAGAGAGAGAGTCGGATGGGGAATTCCAAAAGTGTGTTTGTTAGGAACCTTCATTGGTATAGTGTCTAAACCCATGGCCCTTAGCTTGGCCTTCTCCAACTGGGTGCTGTCTAGATGTTCTGGACTTCAGTTCTCCTGATTTTTGAATGCCAATATGATTCATCTGGCAGAAATTAAATCACCAGGTAAGTTCTGAGCACAGGTTAGGACTGGCACAAACTCTAAGGAAAGAGTAGCGCTTCTTCTAGCTGATGGTTGCCGGATTTCTTGTCTCAAGTTATTTTGCCTCTCATTTGATGGATAAGGGAAGGCTTATCATGCTGGGCTTCCTGGCCCATTTCTCCACTGGTCTTGTCATCTATTTACTAGCGCTCAGAGAATCCACAACCCCTACTCACATCAGAAAATCCACAGAATGAAAAACACTTCTCTGTAAACACTTACAATGCTGAAATCTCAGCTCATGTATCTTCCCCTTCTTTTTAAAACGTATGTTTTGAAGAATTGCATAAAGTGATGTTTCTCTTCAGTGGTGCTTAATGATCTTCAAACAGAATATTCCAGCAAAGTTAAAGGGCTCTGTTTGGGGAAAAAACAAAGTTCTACTCACACATCCATCACCAGATGTTAGTGGATGTTATTCCAGGGAAATAACCCACTTTAAAGACTTGGAGTTGCTCAGGTCAGATCTCCATGAATTTCTGGGACATTTTGATTGTGAAATCATGGATTAAATATGAAGAATGAACTGCTTCAGGTGCTTTTTTTAAAAGAGAGGAACCTGGTAAGCCAAGTAATGTTTCCTTCTCAAAGCTGCATCTTGAACTGGTGTTTATGTACAGTGGAAGAGATCTTGTGTATTAATATCATGCTTTCTCAAAATGTTTGGTTGTGTTTATTTCCATAAACATTTACTTATTTCCTTATACTTTTCCTTGTTTGAGATATTTAAAGGAGGGGATTTTTTTTATGGTTCTATGAAGAAGGTGGATGAAGAGATTCCCATTCCCCCATTACATCAGAATAGTTTCTTGCACAATGAGTTTTCCAAGTTTGTCGGCATATTGAGTGTAGCACTTAACTGCATCATCTTTTAGGATTTTGAATAGCTCAGCTGGAATACTGTCACCTCCACTAGCTTTGTTGTTGCTCAGACTTCCTAAGGCCCTTTTGACTTCACATTCTGGCTCAAGGTCAGCAACTACAAGCTCTTTCTTGCATTGTTTTCTTCTCTCTCTTTACACTGTTTATTTAAGAAGGCCATTTTATCCATCTGTTTTATCTTCTAGCTATTCTCTGGAATTCTGCATTCAATGGGGTGTATCTTTCTCCCTTGCCTTTCGCTTCCCTTCTTAGCTGTTTGTAAAGCTTCCTCAGACAGCCATTTGGCTTTCTTGCATTTCTTTTTCCTTGGGATGGTTTTAGTTGCTACCTCTTGTACAATGTTGCGAACCTCCATAGTTCTTCAGGCACTCTGAAAATCAGATATTCCTTAAATCTATTTGTCACCTCTACTGTACATTCATCAGGGATATGATTTAGGTCATACCTGAGTGGCCTAGTGCTTTTCCCTACTTTCTTCAATTTAAGCCTAAATTTTGCAACAAGAAGCTCATGATCTGAGCCACAGTCGACCCCTGGTCTAGTTTTTACTGACTGTATAGAGCTTCTCCATCTTTGGCTGCAGAGCACATAATCTGATTTCTGTGTTGACCGTCTGGTGATGTCCATTTGTAGAGTTGTCTCTTGGGTTGTTGGAAAAGAGTGTTTGCTGTGACCATCGTATTCTCTTGATAAAATTCTACCAGCCTGTGCCCTGCTTCATTTTGTACCCCAAGGCCAAACTTGCCTGTTATTCCGGTTATCTTTTAGCTTCCTACTTCAGCATTCCAATCTCCCCTGATGATAAGGACATCATTTTTTGGTATTATTTCTAGAAGGTGTTGTAGGCTTCATAGAACCGGTCAACTTCAGCCTCTTCAGCACCAGTGGTTGGGACATAGACTTGGACTATTGTGATGTTGAATGGTTTGCCTTGGATTCGAACCGAGGTCATTCGGTCATTTTGGAGATTGTATCCCAGTAATGCTTTTCCTACTCTTTTATTGACAATGAAGGCTACCCCATTTCTTCTGAGGGATTCTTGCCCACAATAATATACCTGATGGTCATCTGAATTAAATTCACCCATTCCTTTCCATTTTAGTCCACTGATTCCTAAGATGTCGATGTTCAGTCTTGTCATCTCTTGTTTGACCACATCCAGCTTGCCTTGATTCATGGATCTTACATTCCAGGTTCCTATTGAGTATATTTATTTATATTGCGATTTATATCCTGCCTTTTTCCTACAAAGGGCTTAAGGCAGCTTACATCATCTCTCCTCCATCTTATCCCCACAACAGCAACCCTGTGAGGTAGGTTGGGCTGAGAGTCTGTGACTGGCCCAAAGTCACCCA